GCCGGTAGAGAACGTCCTGGGTGCGCCAGGCGCCGGCTTCAAGGTGGCCATGAACATCCTGAACAACGGGCGCTTCGGCATGGCGGCGGCCATGGCTGGCACCATGCGGGCGCTCATCCAGAAAGCGGTGAGCGCCTCTGGGCCCCCCACCCCACTTTCTTCTCCCCCCTCCCTCCCTCCCCGGTATCCCCTCATACAGGTAGTCCTCGACTTACGACAACAACTTTGCCCGACTTTTCTGTCGCTAAGCGAGACGGTTGTAGACTGTCCCCTTTTACGACCGTTCTTGCCACCATCGTCCATTACTGCGGCCGTTAAATCAGCTTCCCCCCCTTGTTGGAAGGCCGTAAAAGGAGATCACGGGACCCTTTTGGGACGCTGCGACCCGTCATAAGTACGGGTCAGTTGCCGAGGGTCCGGATTTTGATCCCGCGATGGTGTAAAGGTCGTAAGTGCGAACATTGACCGTAAGTCCCTTGACTCAGCGCCGTCGTGACTTTGAATCGTCGCTTAAATGAACTGTTGTAAGTCAAATCCTCCTCCCCCATCTCCTTTTCCGTCCCAAAGGTGGACTTTGCCGCTAACCGGACTCAGTTTGGGGAGAAAATCCACACTTTTGGGGTGATCCAGGAAAAACTCGCCCGCATGGCGTTGCTGCACTACGTGACGGAGGTACGGGCGTGCAAAACAGGCGTGTGCTTGTGTGTGTGTGTGTTTGTGTACATTCGGCCTGGTGCCCAAAGTGTCATTTCTCAGATCTGGCGTTCCGGTATCGCTCAACAGCTTTGAGGACTAGAAACTTAGTTCCCCCCAAAAAGCGAATCTCAGAGGCTTGATCCAGAGACCACGTCTTAAAAGCAAATACTAGGGTGTAATAATGTAAAAACCCTTTCCGTGATCTTATATAGATGTATGATTGGGATTGAGCCTTGAATGAAGTTATGCCGGTCGTTAAGCGGGGTCACTACGGAACTGCACACAATTTTACGACCTCTTTTGTGGCGGTCTCTAAGCGAACTCATTGTCGCAGTAGGTGAGGGGGGTAGTTTCTGTTTTTTTATGCCAGAAACAGGAATTAAATGAAACAGTTTGTGGCGAAATCTTTTATTTTAGGGTTGAGTTTTTGTATTTTTAATCGTGTTTTATATTCATTGTGAATGGAATGGAATAAGAGTAGAGTAGAGTAGAGTAGAGTAGAATAGAATAATAGAATAGAAAATATGGAATAGAATAGAATAGAATAGAATAGAATAGAATAGAATAGAATATGAAGAATACAATAGAATAGAAAATATGGAATAGAATAGAATAGAATAGAATAGAAAATATGGAATGGAATAGAATTAGAATAGAAACAGAATAATAAAATATAGAATAGAATAGAAAATATGGAATAGAATAGAATAGAATAGAAAATATGGAATAGAATTAGAATAGAAACAGAATAATAAAAATAGAATAGAATAGAATAGAAAATATGGAATGGAATAGAATTAGAATTAGAATAGAAACAGAATAATAAAAATAGAATAGAATAGAATAGAAAATATGGAATAGAATTAGAATAGAAACAGAATAATAAAATATAGAATAGAATAGAATAGAATAGAAAATATGGAATGGAATAGAATTAGAATAGAAACAGAATAATAAAATATAGAATAGAATAGAATAGAAAATATGGAATAGAATTAGAATTAGAATAGAAACAGAATAATAAAATATAGAACAGAACAGAACAGAACAGAGCTGGAAGAGACCTTGGAGGTCTTCTAGTCCAGCCCCCTGCTCAAGCAGGACTAGACTCTGTACAGTAGGATAAAAAGTTTAAAAACGTGGGAAAAGGCCATTGTTTTTAATTCCCCAAAGACCCCCTTGGTGCTCTCTCTCTTTTTTCAGTCCATGGCCTACATGATCAGCGCCAACATGGACCGGGGGGCTTCGGACTTCCAGATCGAGGCGGCCATCAGCAAAGTCTTTGGCTCGGTGAGTCCTGGCTGGGGCCCCAGGGTGGATCCCCCCTCTCGTTCCCCCCCCACCATGGCCCCATAGCCTTCTTGGGGTCTCTGCAGGCCAGGAAGGGCAGGGCGATGTCACCGTGGGGCTGACCCACAGGGTGCAACTTGCAGAAATCACGAATGTTGTTCCCTCCCCCACCCCAGCTCTGGGTGCTCCATCACTGGAGACTTTTTAAGAAGAGACTGGACAGCTGTTTGTCTGAGCAGGGGGTTGGGCTAGATGACCTCCAAGGTCCCTTCCAGCTCTGTTATTTGGTTGTCTCCTGGAGTTGTGGGTGCTCCATCGCTGGAGACTTTTTAAGAAGAGACCGGACAGCGGTTTGTCTGAGCAGGGGGTTGGACTAGATGACCTCCAAGGTCCCTTCCAGCTCTGTTATTCGGTTGTCCCCTGGAGTTGTGGGTGCTTCATCGCTGGAGACTTTTTAAGAAGAGACACAGACAGCGGGTTGTCTGAAAGGGTGTGGGGGGTCTCCTGCCTGAGCAGGGGGTTGGACTAGATGACCTCCGAGGTCCCTTCTACCTCTGTCGTTCTGAAGCTGTGGTGTGCCGCTTCACACTGGGCAGCTGGCCTGTTTGCCACAGAAACACTCCTGGCCTTTTGAAAGCGTGTTAAGATCTCGCTCTGTCAAGTGGCATGGGGGCAGATCAGAGAGTGACGACATTCAACCCTTTGGGTGGTGGGTGACATGGGAGAGGGGAGGGAGGAAGGAAGGAAGGAAGGAAGGAAGGAAGGAAGGGAGGGAGGAAGGAAGGAAGGAAGGAAGGAAGGAAGGAAGAGAGGGAGGAAGGAAGGAAGGAAGAAAGGGAGGAAGGAAGGAAGGAAGGAAAGGAAGGAAAGGAAGAGAGGGAGGAAGGAAAGGAAGGAAGGAAGGAAGAGGGAGGGAGGAAGGAAGGAGAGGGAGGAAGGAAAAGGAGGGAGGGAGGGAGGAAAGAAGGGAGTTAGGCTGGAAAAGGAAGGAAGGAAGGAAGAGAGGGAGGAAGGAAAAGGAGGGAGGGAGGAAAGGGAGGGAGGCTGGAAAAGGAAGGAAAAGGAAGGAGGGATAGAGGCAAGAAGGAAAGGGAGGGAGAGGAAAGAAGGGAGGAAAGATGGAGGGAGAAGGGAGGGAGGAAAAGAATAGGACAGAAGTTGAAGGAAAGAGAAAGAAAGAGAAAAGAAAGAAAGAGAAAGAAAGGAAGGAAAGAAAGAAAGAAAGAAAAGCAGAACTGTCTGGTCATGTGTAGACAAGAACACTTAATTCCATATTGCTTTTATCTGTTCTTGTTTTTTTCCCATGTACAGGAAGCTGCCTGGACCGTTTCAGACGAATGCATCCAGACCATGGGCGGGATGGGGTTCATGAAGGTCAGGGGGCTTTTTTTTGCGGTGGCGGGGGGGGGGCTAATATCTAGGTTTTAATTTTATTTCTTTCTAATGATTTTCTGTTGAGCCGGTGAGGAAGTTTGTTACTGTCTGTTTTTATTAGCATTTCTCAGCCAGGGTGGCTTTAAGCTGGGGGGACTTCAAAAACAGGCCAGAGCGGAGAGATTGCAGAGAAAGGGATTATGAGAGAGTAAGCAGGCCACGATGGGCGTACATATCAAAAGGAATGCATTAGTGGCATTGATCAGTTTCTCTCTCTCTCTCCTCTTTCTCTCTTCCTCTCTTTTTTTTTATTTCTCTCCTCTCTCTCTCTCTCTCTCTCTCTCTCTTTCTATTTCTCTCTTTTTCTATTTCTTTTTCTCTTTTCTCTCTCTCCTCTTTCTCTGTTTCTTTTTCTATTTCTTTCCTCTATTTCTCTTTTCTTTCTTTTTCTATTTCTCCTCTTTCTCTCTTTCTTTTTCTCTTTATTTCTCCTCTCTTTTAATTCTCTCTCGCGCTCCTCTTTCTCTCGCTCTTTCTTTTTTTCTTTCTCTCTCTCTCTCTCCTTCTCTTTCGCTCTCACTCTCTTTTTTATTTCTCTCCTCTCTCTCTCTCTCTCTTTCTATTTCTCTCTCTTTCTTTTTCTATTTCTTTTTCTCTTTTCTCCTCTTTCTCTTTCTTTTTCTTTCTTTCCTCTCTATTTCTCTTTTCTTTCTTTTTCTATTTCTCCTCTTTCTCTCTCTCTTTCTTTTTCTCTTTCTCTATTTCTCCTCTCTCTTTTATTCCTCTCTCTCGCTCCTCTTTCTCTCTCTCTTTCTTTTTCTTTTTCTCTTTCTCTCTCTCTCTCTTTTTCTCCCATCCGATTCCCCGCCTGCAGGAAAGCGGAGTGGAACAAGTGATGCGTGATTTGCGCATTTTCCGGATCTTCGAAGGCACCAACGAAATCTTGCGGCTTTTCATTGCCCTCTACGGATTCCAGGTGGGTGGGGCGGCTTTAGGGACCGGCGAGATTTGGGGCAGGGGGGGAACCTGAATTAAGCCGGGGGGGGGTGTTCTTACCCGTTGCCAATGCAACGATCCAGAAGGGGTGGCAAGTAAAGACGATCCGGGTTTGATCGCGTTGGCGTTCTCGGGCGCCAGGAAAACTCCACGCTGTCTGATTTCCCTCCGATCCAGAACGCGGGGAACCAGCTTCGCGGTTTGCAACAAGCCGTCAAGAACCCCTTTGGGAATGCTGGCTT